CTGTCGAGCACTTCCGGGATCGATCCGGGATCGATTTATCCGCGTCTTAACCAGACGCGATAAATCGATCCCAGAACATCGATGGCGTGCCGCCGGACCAGCCGGTAAGTGAAGACTAGGCCTTAAAGGTGCCACAGGACCCTCTGATGCTTTTTACAGGTTCAGACTAACACGGCTACCCCTCTGATGGTCTAGGTAGAGTCACAACTAGTTGAAAGACGGTACTTAAAAAGTAGTTATCAATAGTTTGTCAAACTCGGAGGGTGTATTTTGTGGGGTCCTGCGGGGATAAGTTCTAGGTCCAGTACTATGCAATGTTTTCATTAGTGACTTGGATAAGGGAGTTGAGAGTATGCTTCTAAAATCTGCAGATGACACCAAGCTAAGAGGGGTTGCAAGCACTTCGGTGGAGAGGATTAGAATTCAAAATGACCTTTACAAATTGGAGGATTGGACTGAATGAACAAGATTAAATTCAGTAAAGGCAAGTGCAATATTCTTCACTTGAGAAGGAAATAAAATCAAATGCACAACTAGAAAATGGGGAATAACTGGTTAAGTGCTGAAAAGGATCTGGTGGTTATAGCAGTCAACAGTGTGATGAAGCTGCAAAAGAGGATATCATCATTCTGGCGTCTGTTAACAGGAATTTGATCTGTAAAATATTGAATGTCCCACTGCGTGAAGCCTCAGCTGGAGTATTGTGTCCATTTCTGGGTACCACACTTTAGGAAAGATGTGGAGAAATTGAAGATAGTCCAAAGGAGAGCAACAGAAATAATGAAAGCATTACAGAACCTAACCCAAGAAGAAAGGTTTAAAAACAACAACAACAAACTGGCATGTTCAGTCTTGAGAAAAGAAAATTGGGAGGGGGGACATAGAAATATATCACATCAAAGTGCTCCCCCCATCCACGAGGCTTGTTACCCTGTCAAAGACTGATGTTAGGTTGGTTTGACATGATTTATTCTTGACAAATCTATGGTGACAAGTACTTCACCTTATTTTCTTCAAGATGCTTACAAATTGATTATTGATTATTTGGTCTAGTATCTTTCCAATTACTAAAATTAAGCTGACTGGTGTATAATTCTGTGGGCCGTCCTTATTTCCTTTTTATAGATAAGTACTATATTTGCCCTTTTCCAGTTCTCCGGGATATCTCCCACCCTTCATGAGTTCTCAAAGATAATTGCCAGTGGCTCAGGGTTCTCTTCAGCCAGTTCCCTACGTATTCTTGGATGTTTTTCATCACATCCTGCTGACTTGAAGCCATCTTCCAAGATTGTTGATATTGACTCAGAGGTCTCTTCAGCCAGGTCCTTAATGAGCTTATTATGCAGCAAAGGATATTTAGGTTAGATATTAGGGAAAAGTTTCTAACTCTAAGGACAGTTTACTCTGGAATAGACTTCTAAGGAAAGAAGTGGACTCCTCATCATTGGAAGTTTTAAAAACCAAGTTGGACAAACACCTGTGAGGGATGATCTAGATTTACTGGGTCCTGTCACAACACAGGGGGTTGGACTTGATGACTTCTTGAGCTCCCTTCCAGCCCTACATTTCTGTTGTTCTTTGTTTTCTCCCATGCTGCTCATTGGAAGAGCTTCCCATAAATATCCCCAGACCTACCTCATTTCATTTGGGAGAACTTCTAACAAGGATTAGAAGGTCAATGGGGAAGTTGAGGAGAGAACACAAGGAATGGTTCCGGGAGGGGTGAGATCAGTTAGAGGAAGGTGGCAGTAGTTTGTTACCGAGGGTTTTCAGAACCCCCATCAGGGGCAACTTAACTATTTCACTCCAGGTGGTGTTAGGAATAAATCAGTAGGCACCTAGTGATTCTGTCTGAGCTAGGATTAAATGCAAGTCAGCATGCTCTTGTCTAACACTGCAGTTTATTAGATTTAAGCACACACAGACATAAGCAATAGGTTTAGAACATCCCAGATATTTACCTATATTCCGAGACGGTATTGAGTAATCACGACAGGTCGGCGCTAGCCAAATGCCTCCCTGCCAGGGAGTAAAGATGTCAGGAAAAAAGTCTCTGACAGGATAGCTCCAGAGGACTGCTTCAAAGTACACTCTATTATCTAAACTTTTTATAACTAACTCTATAAAACACATAGGTCATAATGACCCCTACTAAATCATCAGTTTTCCTAACTTTCCATGAACTTTTAATATCAGAGGCGTCTAGATTCAAGGCTGTCCATTCACATATCTTCTTTCATTCTCAGTTACTTACTTTTTCCTCCCCTCCTCCCATTCTGATTAGCAAAACCACCAGTAGTTATGACCTTACATCTGAAAGCCGGTCTCCAAATTAATCCTTAACTATGCGGTGTTCTGTTTCATTAGGTCATAGTGGCTGAGAGCATATAATATGGTTGCAATTAGCCTGATAACATTCTGGGGTATATTCGCCTCTCAATCCAGGGCAACATCGTTGACGGGTAGCTACATCTGTGTGTCCTTCCTCGTCTCTCTGAGTGCCCCCCTCATGCCTTTCCCCCTCCTGCAATGTCTGTGGGCCTGCCTCTGTCAGTAAGAAGCAGTTCCAGGAGGACTTACCCTCTGGCTGGAATTTTCCCTTTCTGGGATATGGAGGTACCTGCTCTGGGTTTTAGGAGCCCCTTTGCTCATGAGTGTCTGGCTGTGTGTCTTCCCAGTAGACATGGGCACAGTTAAATTCCTCATCAGAAGAGCTGGCCCCAGGATTTTACTCATTTAATATGATCTGGGGTTAAAATAACAGAACTTCCTGTGTGGGTGACAAATGTCCCATGAATTCACCTGATCTCACTTATCTTCTTTCCCCTGGGCAGGGTTTCCAGTTTCCAAACCTGATGTCATCTCCCAACTGGAACGAGGGGAAGAGTTGTGGGCCTCAGATCTCCAGGGCTCAGAGGAAAGAGAGATCCTGAGAGGCATCTGCACAGGTGAGCAATCATTAAACCAACTCAGAAACTGTCAGTACCTGACGGAAACAGCTGGGATTCCCAGCAAAGACCTTGTGAGCTCTCTGAGTTCAGGATTGTCCCCAGCAGGTGTCATATTCTCAGGGCAGATATTGCTCATGGTTTACTACCCATCCTGACTAACTCCTGGCAGTAGTTCCTTCCCTGAACTCGCTTCTCCCTGAGTGTTTGGATGCAAACTGGATGCAGAACTGATCCCTTCTTCTCTCCTCTTTGGGGATTTTTTTTCCATCTGCAGCTGCTCTTTTGGTTTGTTCTCCCCTATTCCATTCCTGTTTCTGAGACTTTTCTTTCTCTGTCCCAGCAGGTGATGGGATGCTGAGTGAGACCATGAAGCAGAAAGATGGTGAGCAAGTGGAACCACCTGGGGCGTTATTGCAAAGATGCAAAGGGAGTGTGACCAGGAGTTGTGAGCAGGGAAAGGCCTGTGAGAGTCAGCACATTCCAGAGAAATGGCAGGGAAACCAGCCAGTGCAGAAATTTGGTAAATCTCTTAATTATCAGGGAATTCAGAAGGGCCTAAAGGAAACCACAGACCAGCAGAGAATCCCCATGGGAGAGAGAAACACGTGCACTGAGTGTGGGGAAAAGTTCAGTAGGCACTCAGGCCTTATTAGCCATCAGAGAATCCATACTCGAGAGCAACCCTATGACTGCTGTGAGTGCAGGAAAATCTTCACTCAGAGCTCAACCCTTATTAAACATCACAAAGTCCACACAGGGGAGAAACCCTATGAATGCTGTGAGTGCGGGAAAACTTTCACTCGGAGCTCAAACCTCATTGCACATCAGAGAATCCACACAGGGGAGAAACCCTATAAATGCGGTGAATGCGGGAAAACATTCACTCTTAGCTCAACCCTCATTGCACATCAGAGAATCCATACAAGGGAGAAACCCTATGAATGCTATGAGTGCGGGAAAACCTTCACTCAGCGCTCAAACCTTATTACACATAAGAGGATCCACACAGGGGAGAAACCCTATGCATGTTGTGAATGCAAGAAAACCTTCACTCAAAGGGCATCTCTTATTAGCCATCAGAGAACCCATACAGGGGAGAAACCCTATGAATGCTGGGAGTGCGGGAAAACCTTCATTGTGATCTCAAATCTTATTAAACATCAGAAGAACCACACAGGGGAGAAACCCTACGAATGTTGGGAGTGCGGGAAAACCTTCGCTTGGAGCTCAAACCTTAGTTCACATCAGAGAATCCATACAGAAGAGAAACCGTATAAATGCAGTGAATGCGGGAAAACCTTCACTCAGATCTCCCACCTTATTACACATCAGAGAGCCCACACAGGGGAGAAACCCTATGAATGCCATGAGTGCGGGAAAACCTTCACTCGGAGTTCAATCCTTATTATACATCACAGAATCCATACAGGGGAAAAACCCTACGAGTGCTGTGAGTGCGGGAAAACCTTCACTCAGAGCTCAACCCTTATTACACATCAGAGAATCCACACAAGAAAGAAACCCTATGAATGATGTGAATGCAGGAACCTTTGCTCATGGCTCACACCTTAATGGACATCAAAGGATCCACAAAGGAGAGATCCTATGAATTCTCTGAGGGTGGGAAATTCTGTCAGAGTTCAGCCCTTATTTATTATCAGAAAAGCTGCAAGGGAGATAAATACCATAAAAACCTTGTTTAGAGCTGAGAAAAGATTTTGTTTTCCTTTTGCTAATTCCCACATAATGAACTTCAAGGCAGCATTTGTGTCATGGTGGTCTCTCAGCTCCCCCAGCTGAGTTGTCTGCTTTTCCCTTTTGCACTCACCCTTCCTTGGGGTGAATCCCACAATTTTTTCTTTTTCACCAACTCCTTTGTCCTAGGTCATGGGAAATGTGTGTCCCTCCAACAGGAATGTCCATCAGCTCCAGATGGGGGAACTGGGAATCACTTCAACTAGGTACATGGAAGTTAAATCTACCTGGGCCTTGACTGCACTAGGATATTCCATGGAGTTAGATAGCTGGAGTAGCTATCCTGATGAAAAAATAGTGTTTTTACAGTAAAGGAAATAGCCCATGTATAGTGGCCAGGGAAATTTAGCAAATTTCCTCAAGACCTGACATAACCTCCGTCACTTCTAGTCTAAACAAATTTGGAGCATCATATTCATACCTTTCCTCCCACTGCAAAGTGATTGTTAGTCACCAGGTTCCCTCACTAGGGACAAATTGTCTCATTCCCGGTTGTTCTCACAATGCTCTGGGTTGTGCTGAATCACTGGGTTTTGTATCATTTTTCTTATTTTAAATATAACAAAGAGAAGGAGCAGGATTAGGGATAGGAAAATATGTTTTTTTCAACTTCTGTGACACCTGAAGTGGTGAGTTGGAAGGATTCCCATGTTCAGAATTAGCTCAGCAGTATTTTCTCTGTTTGAGCCGTATAGAATTTATCTTCTACACATTCTACAACTCTGCCTCTCAAGGTGTCATATGATTCAGTGTTCTCAGTCCTCTGCTTGGGAATCACACTTTGTTTTCTTTGATCTTCAAACCTAGTAATTTATGGCCTGAGATGAAATTGGCAGAGACCTGGAAAGGGCATTTGAATGGATCTCAAACACAGGGCCGTCGTTTGGCGTTTAAATCCCAGTTTCCAACGGTTAGCAAAGGGGATGGGATTGTTTGCAGATGGGAAGGTTGGCTGGGTTTTTGTTTTGTTTTTTGTTTTTTTTTTCATTACAATGATTCTAGAAGTTTTGTAAATGATACAACTCAACACTAATGAGTGAAGCGGCTTTGAATGGATCAGAGGAGAATGCAATGAGAGACCCTCTTCTCTTGGTTCTGAGTCAACACATTTAACCTGCTCTGGAATTTCTAGTTCTGTGAAACTGGATGTATCTTATATCTCTCTGCGATGTGGGTTTTTCCTCTTTCTTGAGGGCCATTTGGCCACAAAACAGGATATGAGTTTGATTTGTCAAACTGTGGCTCCGATTTATTGGGGACTTTGAGAAAATGACTATTTTAGAAAGTAGTCATTTCTTTGTTTAGTTTTGCTTTTTCCCTGCCTCCCCTCCATGATGACATGGAGAAATTTCAAGTGCAGTTCAGTCAACAGAAGAGAATTCTCCGAGTTATTGGACATATCACCAACTGTTTTTAAATCTCCAGTCTGAAATGGCGAACAACAGCACGCCCCAAATTATGCAACTGACGGGAGTAACTGGATACAGTCACAGTGCTGTTCAATTGTTTAGGTCAATATTGTCTCAGATGATCTGGGCAGAGAATTCCACAGTAAGTGATTAGGCACTAGGCAAAAGGCTCGTATATGTTTCCCAAGGCAGTTGTGATGCAGGGTCTTGTGACAGACTTGTTCACACCCTACACACTATTACAATAATTTTTGTATAAGGCATGTCTTGTGAGGTACCATTTAAAAATTCATAATTTGCTGATCAGTAGTATGGAAAAGTACACATAGCAGCACTGTATGTAATGTAATAAACACAAGCTGAAATCATGGCTAAAAGTATGTTTGGCAGATAAATCTGAGGAATGGCTGAAAGCCATTCCTCAGAGATCAAATGACACCTCAGCCAAGTGCAAACAAGGCTGATGGACCATGCTAAGTGGCAGGAAAGGGGGCAAGAGTAAAAAAATCTGCATTTTAGGCCTTGTCTACACTACAGATTTTTTTGTTAACAAAATGATGCCGCTTTAATTAAAGCACTTTAATTAAACTGCTGTTGTATGTTCACACTATACTACTTGTGCTGGCAGACCGCATCCACACTAGCAGGTCTTGCACTGACACACAAAGCAGTGCACTGTGCAACAGGACACAGGCCGCTTTGGGAAGGGCTTGCATGATGCAGGTTTCTCAATCCCATTGTTCCATGGGCATCCTACTAGATTGCCAGCTGTTTTTCAATGGAAGTGTGTGTGGGAAGTGTGTGACAGGGAGTGTGTGTGTGGTGGGGGAGAAACAAAGACAGTGTGTGTCTTGAGGGAGAGTGAGTATGTCGGCATTCTGTCTCTTTAAGTTCAGACAGCAGCCAGAAGCAACCAGTCCTGAGGTAGGAACACACACACACACACACACACTCTCACTCTCTCTCTCTCTCTCTCTCTCTCTCTGCACAGCAGAGCAATCCCACCCACAGCAGCAGCCTACCTGCCGTTGTGTTCCTAGTGCCGGGGAGAGCAGAAGGATTCCATGTTAATGATTTGCTCCTTGCTGCCGGAACGGAGCAGCATGCTCAGCTGTCAGAACTTCCTAGAGCTTTGAAACGGGAGGGGCACATGCCTGCAGGGCAGCCGAATTCAAAACAGTGAGCAGAGTGGTCACTGTGGGCATTCTGGGATACTGGGGGAGGCCAGTTATGGCGACATAATGAATTGCAGCATCTATACTGATGCTTTGTCACTTTAACTTTGCAGCAAAAAGCTTTGTCTCTCTCATCTAAGTGGTTTTGTTTTGTCGGCAAAAGTAGCATTGTAGCATGTGCACCTCCACTGTTTTGTCGGCAAAGCTGCCTTTTGCTGACAAAACTGTAGTGTAGACAAGGCCTTAGCAAAGAAACAGCATGGAGTTCTCGTGCACACATCTCCTGTAGCCTTGCTCCCACCTGGAAATGCTTCTCAAAGGGTAAGTCCAGACTACCCGCCGTACCGGCGGGTAGCGATCGATTTATCGGGGATCGATATATCGCGTCTCGTTAAGACGCGATATATCGATCCCCAAACGCGCTCCCCATCGACTCCGGAACTCCACCGGAGCGAGCGGTGGTAGCGGAGTCGACGGGGGAGCCGCGGCCGTCGATCTCGCGCCGTGAGGACCCAAGGTAAATCGATCTAAGATACTTCGACTTCAGCTACGCTATTCACGTAGCTGAAGTTGCGTATCTTAAATCGATTCCCCTGCCCCCCCCCCCGCAGTGTAGACCAGCCCAAAGGGGGAACAGGACTATAAAAAGAAGGGGCAGACACCTCTCAAAACACTTCCCTCTCTCTCCCTGTCCATTGCATTCTCTGCAACTGAGAAGACAAAATGACACAGCTGTTGAGCTTTGGGGGAGGGGTCCTGGCTTAAAGAGTTTGGTCAGTGAGACCGCTGAAGCACGTAGGTGAGAAAATTTTGCTTTGAAACGAGAAATTTCTTAAGTCTGTGTTAGTGAGCATTTATCTTTGTTTTTCTTGTAACCATTTTAACTTATGCCTCATTACCTGTACTCATAAAATCTGTCTCTTTGTAGTTAATAAACTTGTTTTCTGTATTCTATAAGCCAGTGCGTTTAAACTGAAGTTTCTGAATAACTAAGGCTATGTTTACATCACGGAGGTCACGGAAGTCACGGAATCCGTAACTTCCAAAGACCTCCATGACATTCTCTGCTTCAGCCCCAGGGCTACGGCACTTCTGAAGCTGGCAACCAACGGGGCCCTGCAAGCTTCCAGCGACAGGTGACGGGGGGGCCCTGCAAGCTTCCAGCGACAGGTGACGGACTCCTGAGGGAGCCCTCCTCAGGGTTCCAGCAATAGGTGACAGCCTCATGCGGGGGGAAGGGGACGCCATGGGTGAGCAGCTGGGGGTGTCCCGTTTTCTTTTGGGGAAATACGGTCACCCTGCAGCTCTCGGCCGCCCCGCCCCCCCCCGCAGCTTCCAGCTGCTGTGGGCGGAGGGGGATCCCCACAGCTCCCAGCTACCACGGTGGTGGGGGAAGCCATGGAGTCGCAGCAGCAAAAGTCACAGACAGGTCACGGGCAATAAACAAAAATTCACAGACGCCGTGACCTGTCTGTGACTTTTACTAAAAATAACCATGACAAAATCTTAGCCTTACGAATAACTCATTGAAATAAACTGGCATATGATTCTCTTAAAGGTTTACTGGATGTCAAATATGTTGTACTGTCCAGGAGCGGGCTGGGCAGCACAGGATATACATTTCTGGGGGAAATCGGGAACTGGGCATGTGTTGCGGTTATACCCTGAAGTTTAACCAAGGCTGAGTGTAACCCAAGTGTGGCTGACAGGCTGCAGTTACACACACACACTCAGGGTGTGGCTTGCACGCTGAAAGGCTGTGAGCGGCCCAGGTGGGAGCTACTTCAGCAAGGCATTGTAAGGCACCCAGGATTTCAGGGCAGGGGTAATAGAGCTACTCATGAGGCTGGATTGTACTCTGGTATGTCACAGCTCTACAGGACATTACTCCTGACCAGTGGTGAGCTGGAGCCGGTTCGCAAGAACTGGCTGTTAAATTTAGAAGCCGGTGTAGAACCAGTTATTAAAGGGGCTGGTGGGTGGGCAAACTCCAGTCCACGGGCCAGGCCCGCGGGACCGTCCTGTCCCAGGCCCTTTAAATTGGCACCAGAGCCCCGCTGCCGGAGCCCTGGGGTAGGGCTGTCAGGTTCTGGGGGCTATTTAAAAAGTCCGGGGCTCCGGCTGCTTTTACCATCCCGGCCCTTTAAATAGCCGCCGGAGCCCTGCTACTACTGCTGGGCTCTGGCGCTCCGGCGGCTATTTAAAGGGCCGGGGCGGTAGAAGCAGGGGAGCCCTGGGCCCTTTAAATAGCCCCCAAAGCCCGGGGTAGTGTGGGGAGGTTCCAGCTGTCTCTGCTGCCCCGGTCCTTTAAATAGCCGCTGGAGTCCCGCCGCTTCCCCAGGGCTCCCGCAGCTATTTACTGGGCCAGGGTGGTAGAAGCAGGCGAGCCCAGGGCCCTTTAAATAGCCCCCGGAGACCCGGGCTGCTGCTGCTACCCCAGTGGAGAGGGCACTTACCTTACAAGATGGGCTGGCTCTGACTCCCTCAGCCACGCCCCTTCTGCCCTAGGCCCCGCCCCTTCCGGGGGCCAGAGCTGTCCCCAGCGTACCGATAAGTCTGGACTTACTTTCACCCCTGTTCTCGGGAGAGGGTGGTCAGGGGACAAGGAGTGGGGGGGGAGTTGATGGGTTGTGGGTTCTGAGGGGGGCAGTCGGGGGCAGGATGTGGGTTGGGTTGCGGTCGGATGGGTGGGGACAGGCACGTGGGGCTTGTACTCACCGCACGGTTCCCTACCGGGTCTTCAGTGGCACTTTGGTGGCGGGGGGGTGTGTGTCTTCACTCGCTCTGGGTGAAGGACCTCCCGTCAAAGTGTTGCCGAAAACCCAAAGCGAGTGAAGACCCCCCCCCCCGCCGCCGAAGTGCCGCCGGGGACCCAGTAGGGAACTGGTTATTAGGATTTTGAAAGCTCATTACTGCTTCTGACGTCATCTCCTAGCTAAGCCTGTGGTTTGGGAAATGCTGTCCCTAACTACGGCGCTGTGGAGGAAATAAAAGTGTGTTTTTGTTGAAGTCGCCCCTCAGCAGGAACTGCAACTGTGTGTGAAATATAATCAGCGTTGAAGCTGAGAGCGCTGCAGGAAAATAAATAACTATTTTTGCTTAGAAACCTCATCTCAGGTAGCTAACGGAGATTGTGACCTAGGCTTGTCTAGTTCCTAACTGACACCTGTGCCACCAGTTTAAAGGGATAAACTGGCCATGTTTGCAGAAGGTATTCCTGACTAGCACTGTTGAGATTTTGGGTGGATTATTAAAGGAAACTACTCCAGGGAAGTGTACATTTAGCACGTTGAAGGGTTTGGCAAGAACTCGGATAGAAATAGCAGGCACCCAGCAGTTGGTTTTTACCCCAGAGAAGGAAGCTATGGAGAGCTATGGTCCACATCAAACTGTTTTTAGAACACCACTCCCTGCTTCAGTGGCACTGATTACAACCCCAAAGAATGCCAGGGTTAGATGGGAAACAATTGTCCTTTACCATTTGGCACCAAAGTGTCAGGAGGAAAAGAGAGAAACAGTTGGTGCCTTCACAGGACATTCCTTGCCTATGGATTCCAATCTGGCTGCCTAGTTGGACAAAAGGGACATTTGTGGTGGGTGAATGATGGTAACTGTTAGAAGAAAAAGAGCAGGTTGACCCAGAGGCGGAGATGAGTACTGGCTTCTTTATTGCGATACTTGTTCCCCTGAACCCAATTGTCCAGTAAGCACCAAATTGATTACAGCACACTCTTTTTGTTTAGATTAGTACATACACGACTACATCCATTACAACACCCCCAAACCCCTTATTAATAGAAACACCCATTGTTAGTAAACCCACCCCTATCCATCACTCATAACATTACACGTTACTTTTACCTTGAAGATACATTTATTTGCAACAAATTGTTGCCATAAATCTCCCTCATCAACAGTTCTCAGGGGTGGGAGGAAGGGTCCGTGAACCATTCTCGGGGGGGGGGGGGGAGGAAGGGGCCATAAGACAGGGCTTGTTTATGTAGCTGGGAAAGGGAGGGAGGGGAAGATAAGGATAGAACAAGAAGCAATGGGCTTAAACTGCAGCAAGGAAGG